CCGTGATCCTGGATGAGGAATTTGGATGCAGGGGGCATAGGAGGCATCCAGCTTGGATTTTTCCCCAATTTGTTGAGATACGGTCAGTGTACCCACGGCGAGCAGTTGAGGTGTGTGACATAACAATCGGATGTACCTTATGAAACGGTTAGCACAGTGAGCTCAGGGGACACCAGCTTGGATTTTTTAAAGATTTTTTTTAACGATCCAATTTAACCTTCAAGGCCTAGCCCGAATCTGGCACTGGTAAGCCCCAACCCTTGCCCACCTCTACTGCCCCCAAAGCAATCCCCTCACTCTGGACAGAGCCACCCAGTGCTCGCTGTCCTCAGGCATGGCTCTGGCTCCAGGATGGGAAACCTTTCTGGAAACAAATTAAGGAAGCAAAGGGGCTTCCGGGTCCATGGGGGCTGCTGGACAGGGGCCAGGCCGGAAAGGGGTCCAGCTGGGGCCAGTGGGGACCCAGACAGCTGGAGTGGCATCTGGACTGGCACCCTGGCCCTCCCCGCTCCCCTTGGAGGTGGCGAGCCAGGACCTACCTGCCTTGGGGGAGGGCTGGCCCAGGGGGAGGCAGGGTGGGGCTGACTCAGCACCCCGGGGCCCAGGCTAGAGAGTCCCACACTGCTTTCCCTGGAGCCATGGCTACAGGGCGTGGAGGAGACTGGCGCAGGGCCCCTCTTCCCACCTGTTGCGGGGTGAGACAGGAGGGAGGCAGGGGGCCTGGGGTGCAGGTTCGGTGGGGCTCTGGGGGTGAGCTCCTCAGCCCCCTCCCAAGACCCCAGCCAGCAGGAGTGCAGGCCTCTGGCCACGTGCAGGGGCTCCAGCACTCCGGGAGCAGAGCTGACAAAGGGTGCCTTAGTGTCTCGTGGCCTCGTCCTGAGGCTGCGAGTAAGTGAGCACATTCAGCTGCAGAGGGAGCAGCACAGAGCGGGTTTTCCTTCCCATGGGCCCCCTCACCCTTTCCTTTTGGGAGCCGAGCTACAGGTCAGAGAAGACGGAGGGACCCCACAAGCTTCAGGGACAAGGCTCCTCAGCCTGAGCTCCACTCAGGGAACAGTCTGCAGGCCAGGAAGACACAGGAGTGGGCAGGAACTTCTGAGAGCCCACAGTTTGTGTCCTCGGCCCGGTTGATCCCAAAACTGGCAACCCTTATCGCCACTGATGCTGACCTTGCCTACTTTGCCCCTAGACATGTGGCCAGCCTGTCATTAACTGGACTTCTGCATTTTCCTGCAAATCAACTGCCATGTGGGACGTCCTAACCCGGGCCTTATGGAAGTGAAGCATCCTGGTCTGTGGACGGTCCTGTTAGGGCAGCCTCACCTGGGGTGACCAGTGTGTCCAGCTTGCAAACAGCAGCACTCAGTCCTGGGCAAACTGGTAACAGCTGTGCCCAGCCTCATCTCACCCGCCAGCCTCAGAAGCACCTCTGCTGGGGCCTGACACCAGCCCAGCCCCCACGGTCACCTCCCGGCCAGGGGTGGTCTTCAGGATTGGCCGTAGTGGCCCTTCCTCAGCCTGAAGGTGAAGGGGCCTGGTGAGTGACCAGCCAGGCCCCTCAGAGGGAGGCAGAGATGGACTCCTCAGTGACAGAAGCTGCAGAAGTTTCCTTAACCAGCCCCAACCTCCCCACCCATCTACTGCACTGTATTCCAGCCGCCATCCTCATTAGGTGCCTGGTTACTTGGTTCTTGGGGCCCCTCCCCATGCATCCCCCAGATTCAGTTCAGGGGGGCAGGAGGCATCATCCCAGCTCCACAAGCTGCTGGCTCCAGGCTGCAGTCCAGTGGTGCTGCCTGGGGAGGGCGGGGGCTTTGCAGCAGCACTGCCTGCACAGTGCCAGGCTCCCAGAATATGTGGCGCTGAGCACCAGGCACTGCTGTGCACCCAGCAGGGGTGGGAGGTGGGGACATGTGGGGTCACTTCAAGAGGCACCCTGCTGGAAAACGGATGACTGACCTCAGCTGAGGGCAGGCAGAGCTGTGCACACACATCCACACAGGCTGAGTGGTCCCAGGGTGGTGGCAGGAATATCTTGGGCTTCAGAACTGGCTGGCATGGGCTGCACAGGCAGTGGGGGTGACAGCTCTGCAGGAGCACCAGGCCGGGCCGGGCTGGGCCAGGCCAGGAGAGTTTGCAGTCTTACAGGTAGAGGTTCTCCAAACAAGCAGGGCCAACGAGGGGTGGGTGGGGGTGGAATGAAGCTCAGACGTGGCCTGTGTCATCTGCTGCATGGCCACGGGCTCCGGGCCCCACCTCACCCAACTCCTCAGCCTGCAGGCCTAGCTCCTGCCCACTGGCTGTGCCCCAAAGGCACAGATTTCTGCATGTGCCCAGCTTTCCTCCCATTCTGCCTTCTGTCTGCTGGGTCCTGCTGGGCTATCGGGAAGCTTGGCACCCACATCGGCCTAGGGGTCCCTCAGGTCCCCACTCAGAGCCTGCTGTGCAGGGCAGGGTGTAGGAAAGTGAGGCCCAGATCACTGGACACCTCCTAGTGGATAAGAGCCAAGGGCTGGCCGTTCTGGAAACTCTGGGGCCCACGGGACTGAGGGGCAGGTGTGGGAGAACCCCAGGGAGGGTCAGGTGTGGCCTGGTGCCAGGCGCCCATTAGGCTCTGCAAATAGTGCATGAAAACAAGTGGGTGAGCCTGCCCCACCTGATGCAGACCTTGCCCGCTTTTGTCACATGCCATGTCAGGAGCAAACCAGCCCCACCATCGCCTGCCCCTCCGGAAATGAGCCAGCCTGCCGGGGACACATCCAGCCAGGGGAACAGGGAGGCCTGCTGTGTCTGGCACGAGGTCATGGCTAGTCTGTGGCCCATCGAGGCATTTAATCAGAGGACAGATGGGGTATGGGAAGCATGCCAAGGAAGGGGGTCAGATATCAGGGCACGGTTGCAGGAGGGACCCAGGATGCCAGGAGTCTAGTCCAGAGGCACCAGGCCTTGCCCAGGACCAGAGACACAGCAGCACCAGCTGCCCAGAGGAATGAGGCTTTGTCCCACTTGGCACCTGGCTGCCAGGCACATGGATGCTCCTGGGGGAAGAAGGTTTAACTCCTGGGACACATGCTTGACAAGGAGGAAGGGCAGACCCCACACCAGGAGCATACACGTGGGTGGCTTTGCTGAATGCGCAGTGGAGAGGATGTCACATGTTCAGGACTTCTGAGGTGGGGGTCCAACGGCAAGCCACCCCTCTACTTTGCTCTTTTCCTGCAGGAGCTCCCCCAGCCCCCTAATTAAGGCAAAAACTATGTACACACTGCCCAGGGAGGCACCCAGAGAAGCAGCCCGAACCAGCCAGTCAAAGCCCCACCTGGGTAGCAGGAGGGGTGAGGGAGCCGGTGGGCCAAGCCAGTTGTAGTGCAGCAAGGACACTGTGCCATCCCAGCAGCTCAGGTGCCGGAGGATGCCAGGTCCATGGCTCAGGGTATCCTCAGGAGAAGAGTATCGAACTTGGCCTTCCAGAGGGTAGGTTTGCTTCTGAGACAGCGATTCACCATTTCCCGGTGCCCTCCCTAAAGCTGGGTGGAGCAGGTTTAGGCACAGAATGGGACCTCCCCAACGTCTGTGTCACAGTGCGCTGTGTGGGTTGTGGGGAGACTCAGAAGCCTCTGCCTGCCTTCGGGTGGGTGCTCAGTTGTCCCAGGGTAGAACGGGTGTGACGAAGGGCTCCGCAGGATCAGCAATGGCATGAATCCACCTGCCTCAGTTTCCCCACAAAACAGAGGAAGGAGAAAAGGCCTTTCTCCTGGCCCAGGGCACAGTCGGGCAGCCCTGAGGAAGTAGGGACAGAGGGACAGGGTTACCTGATGAGGAGGTGGCCAGCAGCTCAGGGATCCTTGGGGCCTCCCTGGCCTGGGCCTTCCCTGAGTGTCTCTGAAGCCCCTCCATGGGACCCTGAAGACCCTTTGTAATACGAGCAGCTGATGGGAGATGCCCCAGCCTGGCCCAACTCAGTGATTCACATGGACCCTCCACCCAGGGGTGTGGGAGGCATGAGACGCAGAGGAATTAGACTGAATGCCCACCCCACTGGAGACACCACAGGACCCCATGGGATTGGGCTCCGCCCCCAAGGCCCCGCATTCCTTCTTTGAGTCAAGGTGTAATTACTGCAGTAAAGCACTCATGGCCCATCCCTTCTGACCCAGGAGCACAGAGGAACCACAAAACACATCATGCAGAGCAGAGCTGTCCACTAGCCCTGTCACTAGCCCTGTCAGCTGGCAGCTGGGCCCGTGAGTGGCTAGTATAACTGCAGTTTTCCTCTTTTCGTCACTTGACTTGGTTTAACTTCACAGGCCCATGTGGCAGGTGGGAAACATCCCCCGGAGCACATTCTGTTCAGTCCACCTCCCAGGGGAACAAGGAGCCACCGCCCTGGCTCCTGTGCCCGTCTGTGAGTGCCGCGTGGCCTCCGCCACAGTCCGGGTAGCACGGACATGCTGGCCGAGTCAGGCATGGGCTCAGCAGCAGCTGGGGGTCCCCCGCCTCTCACTGGCAGTGAGCTCTTCTGTTTCCATGCAAGAACAGCCGCCATCTGTTCACTGGGTGCAACTGTGGCACATCCTGGTTTGCTGTCATGATCCTGACTGGCTCAGTGGTGCCCTTGAGGACAGCTTGCGGTGGATACATGCTTTGGTACCCAACAGGGAGACCACCCAAAGTGGCTGTCATGGCAGGCATGGCTCAGCAGTGGCATCATCCTGTGCCTCCACCACCCCGGAAAGAGCCCTATGTCACCCTATTGCCCAGGTGCTGCCACCTTTGCCCCCAGAGAATAGGGCCCCTGCAGTGTGGGGCAGTGCAGCAGCCAGGTCACCACCAGGGCCTGAGTTCACCTCCTGCACATGTGGGGTCTCGGCATAGGGCAGGGACACACTTCTGTCCCATGGGAACATGCCACCAGAGGAAGGGGCCACACAGAGGGCTGGCCCTTGGCAGGCGGGCAGGGCAGCACCCCCTGACCTGGCCTCCTCATCCCACACTCCCAGGTCCCTGGCAGTTGGGCCACAGTACTCGTCCCTGGGTGTGCGGCCCATTCTGTGTGCCAGCATCCCAGGACTGGTGCCCAAGCAGCTGCGCTTCTGCCGGAACTACGTGGACATCATGCCCAGCGTGGCTGAGGGCGTCAAAATCAGCATCCAGGAGTGCCAGCACCAGTTCCGTGGCCGCCGGTGGAATTGTACCACCATCAACACCAGCATGGCCATTTTCGGCCCCGTGCTGGACAAAGGTACGTGGGCTCCCTCACAGAGGTGGTAGCCAGACTATGGGCATGGTGGGGTCTGGGCCAGCCACCCCTTTGTGGGCTGGGCACAAGCCGCTCCAGCTGCCTGCCTCCATGTGTGACCTGGTTCTGCACAGACCTGGTCCCTATGGCACCTCCCACATGGGCCCCTTCCTGTGCACACCCACCCTGGGTGTGGCAGGGAGATCCTGGGGTTGGGGAGGATGTAGGATCATGCAGAGATTCTTCCTACCTGTCCCTCTCCAAAAGGAAGTTTCACAGCTCTGGGTGAACAGGGTTACCCATCTCAGGCTTCCTGGGGTGGGGTCAGGCCCTAGCAGGGCTCAGAGAGAAAATGCAGAAAGCATGGGAAGAGGAGTCTTGGGGACTGAGAGGCCTGTGACAGGGGTCACCCCAGGTTCCAGAGCCAGGGGATATTTTGGAAGGAGAGAGGAAGATGAGAGCTGGGTTCGGTTATCTTTCAGTGATGAGAAAATTTTCACAACACGTAGTGGCTTGAACATAATAATCAGTGTGGTGCATGCACATCTGCAATCAGAGTGCAGCCTGGTTGGTGGAGCTGGTCTCTGTTGTGTCCCACGTCTGGCAGCCAATGCCACAGTCCATGGGAGCACCCCCAAGAGGCCTCTGCTTGTGGCCTGGGCCCCTTACAAAAGAAAGCACATCCTTTCAGGCAGCATGTTTTATTTTCAGTTTTAGAGATCCATGCATGGGTTCTAGCCCTGTAGCCCACCATATGGAAGGACCCTGTCTCATTCACCGCTCACCCTTGGCAGGCACTTGGGTTGTTTGCACCTTTTGGCAACTGTGAGCAGTGCTGCAGTGAATGTGTCTGTATGAGTATCTGTTTGAACACTGGTTTTCAAGTCTCTGGGGCACATTTCTAGGGTTGGAATTGCTGGATCCCATGGTAATGCTATGGTTAAGCGTTTGAGGAGCTGCCACCAGTTTTCCCCAGCAGCTGCTCCCTTTTACCCTCCCATCAGCCATCCGCAAATGTTCCGATTTCTCCACATCCTAGTCAGTCCTGTTACCTTCTGGCTTTTTTCTCCAGCTACCTCAGTGGGTGTGAGGTGGGGTCTCACTGTGGTTTGCATCAACACGTCCCTGAGTCCCTGGTGACTCCCTTGAGCATCTTTTCATAGGCTTGTAGAACATATGTCTTCCTTGGGGGAATGTCTGTTCATGTTCTTCCCCCAGGTTCACACTGGGACATTGTCTTTTTGTTGTTGGGCTCTCAGAGCTCTTTACATATTCTAGGCACTGGACCCTGATCAGACCTACAACCTGTAAACAGCTTCTCCCATTGTGCCGGCTGTCTGTTTGCTACTGTGACAACGTGTCTCTCATACAGAAGTTTTAAACCTTGTGAAGTGCAGGCTGTTTCCCCTTACCTGGGTTTGCTGTGCTACGCTGTGGGCTGTGGCTGCCTGTTTGTTTAGCAACTTTTCCAAACTACTCAGAGTGACTGTGTTCTTTGTCCTGTCTGGTCAGTGGGACTCTGTTTCTTTAGCTCATGGTCAGGTAGAGGTTTAATATCCTGGGGCAAAAAAAAAAAAGGAAAGAAAAACAAAGGAAAGAAGTCCTCTTCGGGTCTCCACAGAGTGGTTGTGGTGCACACTGCAACATGAGCCGGTCTGCCCCCAGCCCTGCCTTTGACTTCCCTTCCCACCCACACTGAGCCTGCAGAGCAGGGGGAAGTGGAAGCTTCTGGTCTATCCTGGCCATGTGCCTGCCCTTGGCCTGCATGTGGCTCCAGCCCTCCCGGGATGCCTGAGGCTTTCAGAGCCTTATTCCCCAAAGCAGCTCTCCGCCTGGCATCTCCTCCCAGTGGTCAGCATGTCTGCTTTTGGGTCCCCCGATCATTTTTGCCCCAGGTGGCTTGTTCACCTGATTTTCAATGTTTCCAGGGAATGCCATCTGCACAGCCACCATTCAACCTGAGAGTCCTGAGGTGGGTATCGGTCCCTCAGGGAAACTGACAGGTCACAACGGACACATTTCTCAGGGGTGGGGACCCTTCTGCTCCCTCCAGAACCATCTGCCCACACAGGAACAACATGGCTGCCATTCCAAGACTTCACAGTTCCAGGGAGGGTGGGGGGCCGTGTCCAGGTATGAATGCCATGATGCCCTCCCACGCTGCAGAGCCATCCCAGTGCTCTGATGATGCTGGCTCTGGCGGGTTTTGCTTGACCTTTTCCGCACTCCAGGTCCTGGACCATTGGCATGTGTCCAGGGGAGGCTGGCTAAGGAGGGCCTGAGAGGGCAGCCAAGCACTGTACTGGGGCTGGTCTGCTGGACAGTGTTTGCTCAAGGGCTCGGGGCTTCCCAACTTCAGGCGGCCATGGCCATGCCCAGCCAGGTGGGCCTGAGTTCTCCATGGGGAGGGGGTGTCACACCGTGTGACCTTGATGGGTGAGTCAGCTTGCTTCCCACCTGTAAAACAAGAGCCTTGATTAACAGCCAACTCCATGTAGCTGTTGGCTGGGATTATTACAGGGCTTCTCCCCACAGTGACTGTGGGGGGAGCTAGGGTCATGAGGGATGCAGCACATCAGGCATATTGGGGCCTGTGAGTGTGGGTACATGAGTGTGGTGTGTGTGCATCTCGTGGGCAGGTGGGTGCGTGTGTGCTTATGTATGTGAGTTGTGTGTACATGTGTGGTCTGTGTGTGTGCATGAATGACTATATGTGCACACAAGTATGTAACTGTGTTCATGCAATGAGGGTGTGCACGTGTGTCTGTGCATGTGGTGAATGGTTGTACATTGAGTGCACTTGTGTGCATGAGTGTATACATGTGTGTGAGTGTGTGCATATGTGTGTACGTGTGTGGTGTGCATTTGTACGAGTGGGTGTGCACATGAGTGTGTGCCTACGTGCATACGCATGAGTTGTGGTATGCATGCATGTGCATGTGTGAACACACGTGTGTACTGTAGTTCCCACCCACAAATCCTTTGCTGCTCCATGCCAGTGGCACTGTGGGCTGAGGATGCATGCTCAGCATGGGCACAGTGGCTGGGAGGCCCCATATGGGCCCAGTGCCACTGGGTTCCCTGCTCTGGAACCCAGATGGGGGTGTCTAGGGTTCCCTCTCCCTCAGGTAAGGAGGACATTGGGGAGTTCAGGAAGAAGGCTGTCCTGTGCCACCTGAAGAGGCTGGCCCTGGGTGGTGGAGGAAGGCAGTGCCCGGCGGGTTAGGCCCCACCTGGAAGACAGAGAAGGGCATGGCTCCCTCCTAGGTGCTATTCTACCCAGGGCCACCAGCCTCTCCTGCACCTGTGCTGCACCTCTGTACTGCCGTGGCCCTGAAATCAGGAAGTGTGAGTCCTCCAACTCAGTTCCACTTTTTCAAGACTTTTGGCTCTTTGGGGCCCCTTACCATCCTGATGGATTTTAGGACCAGCTCACCGGTTTCTGCAAAAAAGCTTGGATATTTTAGGGATGGCACTGAATCCACAGGTCACTTTGGGAATATTGCGAAATCACACAGTGATCTGTTATCAAAAAGGTTTACTGGGTCTGCCGCCTCCTCCTTACAGACGACCTCTGGGGAGACACACACGGGGAAGCCCAGGGTCTCCTGGGCTGAGCGAGAGGGCGGTCATGGAGGGGGAGCAGGAATGGAAATGAGGATGGCCTGGAACCACTCGCACCATCTCTGTGAGCTCTTAGGATAGGCAGACCTGCCTTGGGGACCCTGGGTTGAGCCCTCACTACTGCTGGCATTACGCTTACCCTTGGGGCCTTGAGGCATCCACATGATCCTGTACTGGGTCTTGCATCCTGGGTTCCAAACCCACAATCCTCCAGTTATGCTTAGCACCAATGGAAGGCAGCCCCAGATCTGCATAAGAGCAGACCGGCCGCCATCCTGGGCTACAGCCCTGGGAGCCCCCTTCTCCTGCCCTCTTGCCCTTCCTAGAAGACCCTCAGGGACCAGAGAAGCCTCTGGGACCCTTGGGCGGCCTCTGTATTCCAGCCCTTCTACCCTTCCAAGACCACTACCCATGTCCACTCCACACCCATCCCATGTCCACCCCATGTCCACTCCAAGTCCACCTCAATGCTCACTCCCATGCCCATCCCCATTTCCACTCCATGTCCACCCCACATCCTTCCCCACATCCATCCCACATCTATCCCCCGTCCATCCCCATGTCTGCTCTGTGTCCATCCTCATGTCCTCTCCACGTCTATCCCCACATCCACCCCCTGGCTATCCCCCTGTCCATCCCCATGTCTACTCCACGTCCATACCCACATCCACCCCGCTGTTTATCCCGTCCATCCCATGTCTGCTCCTTGTCCATCCCACATCCATCCCCAAGTGCACCCCCCATCCATCCCCATATCTACTCCATGTCCATTCCCACATCTGCTCCATGTCCATCCCTAAGTCTGCTCCATGTCTATCTCATGTCCACTCCATGTCCATCCCCCATCCATCCCTATATCCACTCCATGCCCATCCCCATGTCCGCTCTGTGTCCATCCCCATGTTCCTTCCCACATCCATCCCTATGTCCATCCCCATGTCTGCTCCATACCATGCCCCTGTCGGTCTTCATGTCCAGCCCCACCCACATCCACCCCCCTGCCCATCCCCGTGTCCACTCCATGTCCATCTTTTCTGCCCTCTTCCCCTCTCCACTGTCCTCTTCCTCAACTTTTGCTGATGAAAATGTCACTACCAGTCCCTCACCGCCTGGTTTAAGTGGGAAAAAGAATGCCCTTCTCCCCTTTGCCTGCAGTCAGGGGGCTGAGAAATGGCAGTTCTCTGTGCTGGTGGAGCTGACTGGCCAGCAAGAAGGAGCCAGCAAGATGGCCCAGGGAGGCCGGCTCCAGAAGGCCACTGAGGAGGCCCCTGCCTGCCTGCATGGCCTCACTTGCTGTAATCAATCTGATTGGATTAGGGTCACAGCAACCCTAATCATGTCAGAGGTCACCCAGGCTTTGTGGCAGGACCCACGGGGCA